ATTTACAGTTGTGCCACTGCACTTCCATTGATTGTAACTTCTTTGTTAAAACTCCGATTTGAGCTCACTACGTGTCTACGAACTCGTATCGACGCACTCTATGCAGCGGTGCTACTCAATTGCTTGTAAAAGAAAAGGGATAACATCATTTTACACCCTCACGATTTGGGGTCATTCTTGTATGGCCACACGGTTTTTATTTTGTCAATTTACGCCCTAATATTTTAAAATTCAACCAATTTACACGTTCTGTTAATTTGACTGCTTGGTCTTCTATTAAGTGATGAGATGGCAAATGTGGGGTCCACTTTTTTAACTTAGGTGTAATAATATATGTAAAAAATAATATTAAAAATTTATTTACTTTTTTAGTTAATTAAAAATATTAAGATCAATTATTTTAAAAAAAGTATATATATATATATATATCAACATTCCAACCAAACCCCTCTTCTCTTTCAACCCATACCACCTGTAACAACATGATCCTAAATTAATAGTTAATTATTAATTTATTCTAATAAAAGACCATTATACCCCTAGAATATTTTAATAGTTTAAAAGTTAACTTTTTATTCGGGAAGGAATATGGGGATTTCAGTTATACCGTTGCGTAGAGTGCAGCGAGATGAGTCCGCAGACACGTAGTGAGCTCAAATCCGAGTTGTATTGAGGGAGATACGATCAAAATACGTTGAGGGGAAAAACAGTAATTTGTCAGGTCAGATATTTTAAAACTGACTTCTCTCTCTCTCCTCCCCCCTACGACCCAGCCTCCTCCCCCATTTTTTTTTTCCAGTTTCAGCTGGTGGCTTTCAAGAGCCACTGCCGCCACCGCAGGTCACGGTTGGCCATGGGATCAGACCCAAATGAACCAAGCAGCCTTCCCCTTCTCTTCCTAATCAAGCACCGCCATCGAAACTGCCAGAATCCACCGAAAAGAACCCGAGAATAGGCCGATTTCGCTCAAGATTTCCAGCCGTTCGTTCTCCATCATCCGACCACCATTTCCCGTGATCCAGGTATGGAAACTCATCTATTTCTCAAGCCCTAGCTGTTGGTTGGGTAGGATTTCAGAAATTTCTAGCATAGATAACTCGATCTTGGATCCAGCGTTTAGCCGGGTTTTGGGTTGATATTTCGGCCACTTCTGGCCAGTTTCTGGGGTAGGTCTAAGAACAAAAGTGGCTCCAAATAGGGTGTTACACCTAGGGTAGGAGTCTTGAGCCGTGTTTTGGAGTTTTTCCGGCGGAGCGTTATCGCTTTAGACACCACGCGCTGCCGGCGTGTGTGGCGGCGCGTGGGCAGCAGAGTGGGGACCATAATCAATCCTAGAATAATCCCTTAGTCCTCACAAGTACGTAGGATTTTACGGATCTTAATTTGGATAATGTTTGAACCCTGAACGAATCTCGCCTAATGCGTGATTTCCAGGTTCAGCATGTTTGAGCCGTTGGATCGTAGTCATGTTCAGGTATGTTGACTTAGGTAATTCCAACATCGTATAATAGTTGTTGGATCGTAAAACAGAGTTTCAGATATTTTAGAAATGCCAGCCCTATAGCTAGGTTTACAGTAAACAAGTCCGGACCGAAAGAAGTTATCTAAATCCTGTTATGAGATGAGCAGATAGTTAGTTATAGGTTGCGGTCCGGATAGAAACAGTGTCTCCAAGGCCTGCCAGTTTGCAGAGTATGAACAGAGAAAAGAAATACGTGTGGCTTGATCCCTCAGTAAGGGTACGTAGGCAGCCTATAATTATAAGATGCAACCACGAGTTAGAGCCTTTGAGTTTGTGTTACTGTTTTTTGAAGGGCATTTTGGTCATTTGTGATCCACACCCACCAGGTGTCAGTTATAAACAGGATTCGGCCCGAAGTTCAAAGTGGAATTTGGGTTGGGTCCTTTCACCACCTCACAACCATCTCCTATAAACAATGCAGACCACCTCACAACCACCGCATGCAAACAACCCAGACCACCTCACAACCACTGTCTGCAAACAACCTACTTTCCCCCTTCCCAAACCCATCGCACCCCGGATCTGAAACCATCCCTGCCCCCAGCCTCCTCCCTCTAAAACCCTAACATCTCGAAACCTAGATCGTTGCTGAATAAGCCATAACTCCAAAGTTCTTCAGCTATGGAAAAACCGATAGCGCCAACTAGACAGAGTTCAGCAGCTACGCTGAAGACAGGAACATAATCGGGTCGGGTTTGATAAGTTACAGAGAGTTCGAGACTGGGCAAAAATATTCATTTAAAGGGTACGGCCAATCTGCGGACAACCCACATAACAATTTCAAGAGCTATGGAGGTGACGGTCAATGGAGGACCCAAGAATTTTTATAAGGGTAGGCTAAATTATTATTTTTATAGAGGAGATATATTATGAACTTGTAAGATGTCATCGCTTTGAATGTACCAGTTGCTTCCCCCCGTATAGAATTAGTGGCTCCATCCTTAATCAAGTTCTCAACAATTGTACAAGATGCATTAAACATATTTGATAAATCCAAACAAGAATCCTAATGAGATCTGAGTTCAGTAAGTTCCTCAGGAATTAAAGTATCAACTTTAGATGCAGAAGGTGTATCCTTGTTATCATTACTACTTCTTTTTTTTTCTTTTTTCTTTTTGATAAAATGAGGGGGACACACCCAAAAAAAAAAAAAAAAAAAAAAAAAAAAAACCCAAAACAAAGGACCCCCCCCAAAAAAAAAAAAAAAAAAAAAAACTGAAAGCCTAACCAATACAAATCAAACGACCCCAAGTGACCCCCAACAGATCATCAGCTAACGCAGAGCTAGCCCAGATAGGAGCTGGAAAAAAAAACTGAATATCCAAGTCTAGATTATGGCTCTATTTACCAAGGCAATCCACCAAACCATTCTTCTCTCTGAAAATATGCTGGATATTTTAACTCTCAAAATGTCTAAGCATCTTCCCACAGTTTGAGAGCAAAGCAGTTAGAGGATGGAAACATAGAGAATCCCTTTGTTGGAATAGATTCACAGCAATCTGAGAATCCATTTCTATGAGGATCTTGGTGAAGCCCTTTGCCACTGCTAATCGGAGGCCACTGCTATAAGGATCATTACTACTTACTATATTTTTTGAAGAATGAATAAATAGTTTTTCCTCTCTTTGTCGGTTTATTATCATCATGTGACATGATATCCTAACAAGAAATACTAGACACCAAAAATCATATGTGCTAATTAATAATTCAAGTTGCAAATATAAAACATATATCAACAACCTCCAAACATTTTCACTCAAACCCTAAATCATAAAAACTTAACAACAACTATTAGAATTGAATATTGAATATTAATAAAATAATAAAATAAAATAAAACTTACCAAGATTGAAGAACCCATAGAACATGAGTTGGTACAATTTTTTAGAGGAGGAGAGCTATTTCCTCTAGGCTCTCAAGGTTCAAATATGGCATTTTGGGTGGCTAGAAGAAATTTTTTGATGTTTGCTCTCTGTGGGTGTAGTGCAATATCAATACAATTAGAATAGCTCAAGTTGTAGAGCCTTATCGTGAGTTTTGCTTCTAATCAAATTTATATTGGTTTGGATTGATGTTTATTATTTTCTTTATGCTTCAGGAGTGGGCTTATTTTAAATAGAGGACTGAGCTATTATTTACTTTACTCATATTGGGCTATTATTAGTTTATTAAAAAAAAAAAAAAAACAATGCATGTGCGGGCTATATTAATTTGGTGCAATGGGCTAATATTTAGTTGAGTAGGAATAAGCCTACAATAGTAAGACCATGTTCAATATTTTATAAATGTTCCCCTAGGCTGGAGCCCACTCTAGCCTAGGCTTAGGTCCACCCTTGGTGGCGGTACTTCTAGGGTGGTTGGGTTCTCAAATTATCAGAGCGGAGTAAATGTTGGGGATGACTTGTTTAAGTCTCACGCGAGAAATTCGAATTTCGAAAAGGTGAGTTTCTCAAATTATGGGAAATCTTTCAATCTGGTAAACGATTGTTTAAAGACTACAGGGTCGGGGCGAAGGGTTGGACCACTGTCGGGTTCAAGTCGGACGGTTTGGGGGTGGGGCTAGCTAATTTGTGTGTGTGTGTGTGTGTGTGTGTGAGAGAGAGAGAGAGAGAGGGAGAGAGAGAGAGAGAGAGAGAGAGAGAGGGCGGGTTAAGGAGGTGAAGTTGAAGGGTGGAGATGAGCGTTCGTGTCTGAAGGAGAAATGGGTGTTGGGAACAAATGTAGGGATAGTGGAAGAGAAGAAGGAGGAGGAAAAAGAAGGATGAGGTGGTGGAGATGCTGGGTTTGGAGTTGATTGGTGACGGGTGGTGAGTTTGTTAGAGCATCTCCAAGGGAGATGTCAAATACCAAACATCAAATTTAAATTTGATGGCTGATGTGGCAATTTGACATTTACATAGTTTTACACTCCACCCGATATGTCAAATAAATAATTATTGTAACAGTCAAATCATTTAAGATAAAGAAGAAAAAAAATTAATAAATGAAAATAATAATGAAAGTAATAGCCAACTATCTTTTAAAAATAATAAAATATTCATTTGGCATATTGTTTTTGGTATGTCAAAAATAACATCTCAACCTCCAGCCTTCATTCCACGTCAGTTTTGACACATCGGTTAGAGTGATGTGAGATGTTATTTCTAACCGTTAAAGGTCTATGTGGCACTTTTGACACATCAGTTAAAGATGCTCTTAAGAGTGTTGGGTTTTTTCAATTATGTTTTATCGCCCTTGTTTTAAAAAAGTGGACTACATGTTTGCCCTATATCAACACTTAACAAAAGACCAAGCGGTCAAATTGATGGAACATGTAAATTGATCGAATTTTAAAATATTAAGATGTAAATTGACAAAATTAAAACTGCATTGTCTGTTTCAAGAATAACCCGAATCTTGAGGGTTAGAATAATGTTAGCCCTTGAAAAAAAACAAGTTATATCATTAGGAAACAAAACATTATTTAATATTCCAGAACCAAACAAGGACACACAACGCAAGAAGGTGCCTTCAATCTTGGCAAATTTAGAAGGGAACCGAAGTTTCTACATTTTTATAAGCCACCGACCAACTTTAACAACCACCACCAACCCCAGAAAGAAAGAAGCTTCCACCGAAGCTTCAAGAACGACCGAACGACCCACAGACCACACCTTCTTCCTCAATCCTCATTCTCTTCCAGTTCTCTCTAAATTTACATAATCCCCACCTCCCAAAGCCAAGCCAAAACTCCAACCCATCATTCATAAATCGCACCTCTAATCTCTTCTGGCCCTTTTGTTTCGTTCAGGCATTTTCACAAACATCTCAATGGCGGCAGAGGACGGCGCGGTCACAATCTACAGCGGCAGCGCAATCACCGACGCCAAGAAGAACCCATATTCTCTCAAGGTCGGCCTAGGCCAGATGCTCCGCGGCGGCGCCATTTTTGAGGTCACCACCGCCGACCAAGCCAAGCTTGCCGAGGACGCCGGCGCTTGCTCCGTCATCGTCTCCGATCCACCCCGCGCCCAAGGCATTTCGCGCATGTCTGACCCAGCTCTCGTCAAGGACATCAAACGCGCCGTTTCGATCCCCGTCATGGCGCGATCCCGGGTCGGCCATTTCGTCGAGGCCCAGGTCCTCGAAGCCATCGGCGTCGATTACATCGACGAGAGCGAGTATCTGGCGATAGCAGATGAGGACCATTTCATAAACAAGCACAATTTCCAGACCCCTTTCGTCTGCGGAGCCCAAACCCTCGGAGACGCGTTGAGGAGAGTGAGAGAAGGCGCGGCGATCGTAAGAACCCAAGGGGATCTATCTGGGTCTGGAAATGTAGCCATGGCTGTAAAAAACGTGAGATCTGTAATGGGTCAGATAAGGCTGCTCAACAACATGGACGACGACGAAGTCTTCGCGTTTTCGAAGGAAATTCAAGCGCCGTACGACCTCGTTGCGCAGACCAAGCAAATGGGTCGGCTTCCGGTAGTGCAATTCGCCTCCGGCGGCATTGTGACGCCGGCCGACGCGGCGTTGATGATGCAATTGGGGTGCGACGGAGTTTTTGTCGGGTCGGATGTTTTCAACTGTTCGGATCCGTACAAGCGGGTGAGGGGCATTGTTGAGGCGGTTAGGAACTACAATGATCCGCATGTGCTGGTGGAGACGAGTTCTGGGTTGTCGGGTCTGATGGCGGGTTTGGATCTCGGTGAGGACAGGATCGAACACTTTGGTCGTGGCCATGGAGGTGTTTGATTAGGAAACATAATCATGTAATGAAGTATAGAGGTTATACTTGGATCTGTCTCTTTGTTGTGACTTTGTTAGCTTAACATGTTGTATTATTGAGGCCAATTTTGTTAAAATGCAGATATGAGAATGGAGAATAATTTGTTGTCCCGCTCTGTGATGATGATTAGGGTTAAATGGTGTACTTATTGGAGATGTTAATGAGAATAAGTTTGTTAATCCAAATGAGTTACATTTTGATTTAATTTCAATTTCAAGTGTTGATGCCTTTTTTAGGCTTTAAGAAACTGAGTTGTTGAATGAAGTCCAGATGCTGGAAGCTGATGCAGTTCTTGGTGGCATGTTTGTCTAATTTACTGTTCTGTTCAGTGAGAATAACAGAATGTTGAACAGTGATATTAACTTATGGGTTAATCTGGGAATAGTTCAGAATGTGAGGTTATCAGTAACGAGGACAGATGCACAGATGCAAAGGTGCAAAGGGGCTTCTAGCTCAAATGATTAAGAGTAGGTATCCTGTGCACTCGAGGTTTTGTAGGTATCCTGTGCACTCGAGGTTTTGTGTTCAAATCCCCTCCCCATTTATCGTTTGTGTTAAAAAAAAAAAAAAGAGAGTATGCAAAGGTTTTTTTTGGTGTAGATATGATTCTCACAGCGCAGACCAAGTAGATACTTAGGCTTCCTGTTGTATAATTTACAGCAATCCCAATGGTGAATTAGGATGTCATGTGGTGGTTGCAGGATAAAAATTTCTCCAACCTGGAGATCCATTGAAGCAAGCTGTTGAGAATCTGGAATTGTTCAGGCTCCTAGCATATTCATTGCAACAGAAAGGTATGGGTGCTGTCAGCTGCTAGCTATGGTAAATGCTGATGCGGGGGACAGTATTGAATGGTTTGAACCTGTAGATTTCTGCAGGTTTAAATCTTTTGTAAATGCAGCTGTCTTTGTCTGTTACTCAGAATATGGGTCTGCATGCTTTTCTAGGCTATCATGGAGGAGGGTGAATTTTCCTTGTCCTATTGTTGTGTATGTGATTGTCTTCACTGCATCTTATGGCATGGAAGAAAAGAAGAAAAGAAAGTAGAACTAGATCTCGGTCAAAATTAGAACAGAATAGAACACTCCATCAGGGAAAAAGGGCATGTTTTACTTTATTTTAAAACTGAATCATCCATCTAATCTTCACTAAATTATCCATCAGATAATTTAGGGCTACAAACTGGCTGCAAGCTAACCCTATTATTTTGCAAAGAAAACTTGTCTAGATTGCACTCACTGCTGGAATGGTTTCATTGCTTTGTAGGAACCTCAGAGCAATCTCATAAGCAGGAAAAATGGCTCCATTCACCAGAAACGCTCTAACCACCGCGGTTCCCAGTCCCCGCCAGAGCACGCGGTATCCTCCCTCTCTGCAGCTCTTCTGGAAGCAATCGCCTATGACAACGCATTTTGATTGAGCCTGCCATCTGGTTTTTACAACATCCAAGGGATAAACAAACAGCCAACTTGCTACCCCTGCTAGCCCTCCTGCTAGCATCATTGTTCGCATGCTTTCTTCGCCACTCTTTCTGCAGCCCGGGTGAAGCTTCTCTCTCATGTACTCATAGGTCGAGAAGTAGAAACAAAATGAAGGTGCATCCCTCAGAACAGTAATGCCTAGACCACGATATATTCCCCGTAAGCCTTCGGCTTTCATGATGGCTTTGGCAACATCTATAGGGCCTCTGTGGGATTGCAGTTGATGAGATTTTGCGTTTGCATATGCTTGAATGTTCTGCAGTTGAAGCCGGATTTTTACGAGTTCTATGGGGCTGAGGATTAGGCTCTGAACGGCACCTGTAGCAAATCCTCCTAGAGCAACAGCTTTGTAAGGAGCAGGGTCTTTAGTGGAAGCAGATGAGTTAAATGCTCGACAGAGAATGGAGTTTATCTGGAAAACCATGGCATTCTGCAATGCACAAAAGGTTTGTTACCAAATTTGCAAACGACGTTTGAAGTCAGATGATTCATTTATGCTTGGGTCGCAATGCTTATAGTGTTGCTTATAATGCAAGAAAAGCATTTGAGTTTTACTTTCTGACAACAAACAGTTTAACTGTCACAAAATTGGATCGTTATTGTAAATGTCGCATATATAGTTTTTTTTTCTGTATATTTATTTATAGGAAAAAAGGTTCGAACTTGAATCTCTTTCGGCATTGCAAAGAGCACAAAGAACATTAAACAATATGAGTGAATAAGTTCAATAAATCTATCCCTAGCTAGATAGTGACAAATCTAAAACAGCCATTCTTTTTCAATAAGAACTTTTAATCCCAACTTTGTCTTTACATAAAATTACCTAAAACACAAACTTTTATTTATTTATTTTTACAAGCAATATTGGGGAGGGAGGAATCGAACCTAGGACCTTGAATGCAGGCGGACCTCAAAAACAAACATTAAAAAAACATATTTACTAAAATTTCCTGGAACTTTAACTTGGAGTTAAAAAAAGAAAGAAGAAGAAACCTGGAAAGTGACAGAGGCCAAGGGAGCAGCAATGCCTCTGTAGAGGGCAGTAGGGCCTTCAGCAGAGATGACATTGCGAAGTATGCTGAAAGCAGAACCACTCTTTGAATGCTGCTGCCTCACTCTCAGAGTGTCAAGTGGATAACCAGACAGCAC